CATCCAATCTTCAAGCAAATATTTAGTGATAAAAATGTCTCGAAATATGTGATTATTCACTGTCGCACCCTAAAGAAACATTTAAACGTCTTCTGTTTGCGAGTGAAACAAAACGACGGGAATAGATTACGCGTAATTACATTGTGTAGAGCGGATCGAGGGCAATCATCCATTCACCGACGCAAAAGTGAACGCTGGAGGTATGTTAATTGTTCGCGCGAATCGAGCTTAAGTATGTCTCGAAATTAGAAGAGATAAAGTAAGAGTTAAACAGTACTCCTGATTCCATCGGCAACGAATAAAATATGCTTGGATTTTTGTAAAGTTAACAGAGAAATACAACGTCAGGATACTTTTTGAAAGATACTTTCAGGAAATGAAAATGAGTTTTATCACATCGTTAATTAAAAGTTGACACGAGAGTATAGAATGAATGGTTGTTGAAAAAAACTGGTGGGTAGCGCCGAGGTGCCAAGAATACAATGAAAAAGAAACATTAAGTTAAAACGGATGCAAATACGCGCATTCATAGTCGTGATTTTTATCGTAATTATACATATGGAAAATTTGTCCGTCTAATACTTACGTTCCTTTTTATAGAAGGATACTCGAGCGTTGTTGCATAATATGTTTGTGACGCAACAAATTTTTCATTATGATCGGGAATCCAGCTCGAAAAAAAAGCACTTGGGTACGTTATTATCTAAATGGGTTATTCGTTACCATTGATAAGAGGAATCGATTACTTCGTCGGATTAATTTGTTGTTATAACTGGATTATGAAAGTCATGACACAATCGAAATTTTTCGGGGCTCCTTTCTGTACTTGCAAATTTTCTAATTAGAAATTGAGATTATTCGAATTAAAGAAAATTCGAAAGTCATTTATGATTCTCCCAAGCATTGTATTAAAATGTCTTCGATGTTACCGTTTCGGTCCTTCTCGGGAATTATAAAAAGTATTGTTCTGAAAATTATATACATTGAATGTTGAGTATAAAAATAAATGGAACCTTGATTTAAGAAACGAGAATACTTTTTATAAATTATTTACAAAGTATAGGTATTAATAAAAAATTTTTTAAACTTTTTATATCTCAGTTCATTTAAAAAGCTTTTTCAAAACTGCACGCTGTGAGAATAATATGATGGTTATTAACAAACAATTTTAATCTTTTTTGTAAAATTTAATTGGTCGTTAACATTATCGATAACATTCCCTATCTCGGAACAGTAACAGACATAGGAATTGATAATAAGATTGATGTTCTTATTAAGACAGAATTTGATTGGACTGACAAGCCAGTTATCATTACACGTAGAATGTTCTAGTTAAAAGATCGAAGATAAAAACCTACATACATATGTACGTAAATATGACACAAAACGCGATTAATTAATGAATTTAGTCGATATCAACATTTCGATAACACAATGTCAGAATTAAGAAAGGTCAAGAGTCAGTAATCACTCTTTCTTAGTAATTCAGTCCAAGAAGGTTAAACGTATCGAAGAACTTATTGATCATTTTCCAACTAAGTTTCTAGTTATTTCCAGGGAACGAAAATGGCAAAAGCGACAGGGGAAGGGAAAAAAACAATTTCACGGTGTTCACCGTTGCGCAGGGTGCATTGAAAGCGATCTCGGGCAGAGAACAGAACGAAACGAATGATTTTTCCGCGAAACACGTCCGCCTATTTGCATTTTGTACAGCCAAGCCGCATATACTGCAACCGCGAATTCGCCTTTCCGGTCCCGAATACACGGAAAGTAATCAGGGATGGACGCTCATTGGAAGAGTGCACTGTGATTGATGCACCTGCCCTGTCCGTGCACACTCGCCATCGAACCAATCGATCGCTCGCGCTGATGAAAATATCCATATCCGTGGAAATTGGATCCACGTGGACATCGTCGACGCGATTTGCGATTTCGTTATCTGCAATCACCGACGATCGCGGTCCAGCGCGCCAAACGCAGGACGATCGACCTCGTCGACGATTCGACGTCGCATGTGTCGACTCTATACAAGTGACGGCGATTTAGCTTCGTTGTTAGGTGAATCTTTAAAGACACAGTGTAAGTATCATAACAAATATTAGGTTAATTCATAAATAACTTTCGCTGCAGATAACAAATAATCATGCTTTCAAGGAACCCTCTGCAGGTAGCAATTTATAATTTGACTGCTAAGTGCGAACAAGTGATAATCATTTATAGTGCTTATATAATTAATTTAGACCTATTACGTAATAGTTAATTCGGAAATAGATTGTAAGTGAAGAAATGAAAGTTATTTACAAATAAAGCTAATAGAGTAGGTGTCTGAACTTCCAATACGACCGATTCAATGCAAATAAACGATAAACGAAAGCTACGCTTCCAACGATAGGATCAGCAATATACTATTGCGATACTACAATGAAAAATTGCAAATAGTGCTGCTGATGCATGTTTAGAGCCATTGCTGATCGCAGCCAGGATTCGATCGAGTTCATGGTAAAAGCATCATCCTGGAGAACCTTGCTCACTATTCGAACCACGTATCCCGGCATTTGAGTCAAGGTAGTTCGAACGGGACGTGTTAAAATTCACGGGAATCGTTCGGAATCGGTCATAAAATCGTTTTATCGCGGCTGTCGTCGCGAGGATTCCAGCCTCGATCGAGCATCGATGCAGGAAGTCGCCATTGCACGGTAACACGGAACCAAGAATGTTGCATCATTCATCTCCCTTCGCGAAGTTGACGAGATTGTCGTTACATCGTTCATCGGAAGGCCAAAAACCGTTCCATAAATTACGAGGCAGCTGGATCATCATTTACAGATCACGCTGGATCACGCATTTACAGATAACGTTCCTCCGCGCAGAAGTCACCTGACGAGACACGTTTCGAGTGTTTACGAAAGTTCTTTTCGCGTCTCGTGATACCGATCTTCCCCCCTTCAGAAATTGATCGTAAAGTGTTCCAGCTGTGACTTTGTTATGTAGCTGATCTGAGGTTGTAAATCACTGCTACCGTGCGTCGAATTACAGACCTATCCATAAGTACGTGGACAACTTCGATTTGGAATAAGTATTTATGAAAAGTTACGAATCTAATTATGAATATCATTTATGTTTTTATATTTACATTACCACATTTATTTAGTACATTCATCTGGGTTTATTACTTGAGTCCAGAGGACGCACGTACCTGTCATCGTGAATTTCATATATATCTGTCTTAAAACAAATGGTTAAATTTCTTTTCATGAATGTCATAACTAGACTGCACACGTTTCTGCATTTATATTTAATAGAAGTATGGAGAAATCAATGAGGATGTATAAAATATGCTTTGATTTAAGTCTCAATTATTTTTTTGAATTTCTGAAAATATGAATTTACATAAACATCCGTTCTAGTAATAGCAGATGTTTCACGAATTATAACAATTTAATGCTAGCAGCAATCATCTACCTCGAAGAGTTAATCTTCGCGTCTGCCTACCACCTGAACAACGTCAGCTCGATTCTGGTTAAAAAGTGCAATGAGATAAGTTTCATAGTCGCTGGGAGCATCTAATTACAGGAACTAATTATTTCCCATTGCGGAGGAACCAAGCTTATTCGCAAGATGCCTTTCAACTTTTCTCGTCTCGTTGTCAGATACTTAATCGGATGCCAAAGGTTTCCTCAATAGTGTTGCAAGAGGCTATTTAGTATTCTACAGGATGTTCTTGAATATAAACCAATAGTCGATTTCGTGCTGGGTCGCAAAGAGAATTTCAAACGTGTCCTCTACAAAAGCGCATTTCCTATTCCTTAAAGTTTAGATAAAGATTTAAAAGAAATGTTACATATGACGAATATATATCAAAGAATCCAACAGATTGCAAGTAGCAATGTCAATATCCGATAATCCATTTTGCTCAATATCTAATCAGGTTTCGATAGGAAAATATGAAACATTGTTTTTAAATTTACCTACACTTCATCGTTAGTATATTCCCTCAAGACAGATTATTCAGGATCAACCTGTTAACGCTTTGCTAACCGGTCATGAGTCATTCGTTTTAAGTTGACTCGTGTTTACACTTATGTATATTAGTTTATGCAATCTGTAAGCTTAAAAACAATGCGTGCCTTTATAACAACGTTCTAAGTCGTACTCTTAATTAACTTAGTTTATAAAGTGTTAATTAATAATTCACTAAAATTTTAAAAAGTGCACGCAGACGTACTTCGCATCCGTCCTTGATTTTCATCATTGTTTTTCCTCTTTGCTGAAGATTTATCTTTGAGGCTATCGGGAAAGTTGCAAGGCTATACTTTAGAAAAAGGTAGTAATTCTTGGGAAATAATCCCACAAGAGTGTAAAGTGTAGTCTTCTAAATGCAAGTGCAGCGAAATGGATATTTTATTTAAAAACATGTCGTGTATCATTGCATTTATGTAAATTCTATATTGTATACGAAATTCGAGAAAATTATGAAATACATGGAAGAGCAGTGGATAGTTTTGGCTTGGGATAGCCAACAAATACCAGCAGGACGATAAAAATTTCATCATTGAGACATTATTTTATAACATTAGACCATTTTTAAATTTACAAGTAAACATATGTATACATTTAAAAAAGTGAATATTTCCATTAAACAGCGATAGCATCCCTTGCAACATCTACAATTCTGTTATTGTTCGTGTATGGTTCCTTTTACAGAAGTTTACATGCACGTTATCTCTTATTTAAAACATGAAAGTTACTCCATACGATGGACTTTGCCTAATATGACATTGACTCGAGTAGTGCCTAATCCGAGGTCAATAGAATTTTGATAAGATAAGCAGGGGAAAACACGTGTTTTTCAGTGGTGCTTACACGCGGTAATCTAAACGATCTCGCCATCAGAGCTTCCGCGCGTTGAACAGATCTCGACCAACCAGCTGCGGAGTCACATGTACCAACGATTCACGTCGTCCTTCGCGAAGTCAACCTCACCGAGTTAACTGTTCCAGGAACTTACTCCGTCGGTGGAAGTCGTTTCGCGTACACGTAAAATCTGCCGAGTCGCAGGAGCAGCATAGAATGAGTCGAGGTTGCGGTAAGATCTGTGAGTTTTTCTCGTTCAAACGCTGAACCCCAAAAGAAGTTCCATAATTTCTTGTAGGGTGACGTTATACTCGCCGTACCAGGTTCGAGAAAGTGAATTTGTGTCGAAAGTGCCGTATTTTCTGGTTTGTGAGTTTCCTGTGGTACTTTCCTGTCGCATTGATTCGAGATGTTTAATCAGTGAATGTTGTTGAGTCGTGATGTTCGGGAGCACCGAGTATGTACCATGTTCTCACGGAGCACCTTGATTTTAACACGATTTATTGTTTCCCGTTCACTGCTTCTGTCATCGTCTGTTGCGCAAGATCAAAGGACTCGTGCCACCTTTTAATCTGTATTTTCACTAGCGTAATTGGTAGCGATCAACAAGAGTATAACGATAATTTTGTGATTGTTTTTATATAAGAGTGTTTTAATATTTGTTAGTGAGATTTTTTAATCTCACGAAGCCACTAGAAAGCAAGGTACCTTAAAAAACATTTGAATTTATATACTGTTAAGTATTTTTAATATTATCTGAAATTAAAATTAAAACGATCCTCAGAATATGTTCCTTTTATTTTATTTGACCCACCAGCAAGTAAAGTTGTCCACCACAGATCTAGATACCACCTGGTGCTTTCCAGCATTCACCCTAATTAAAACTTTTGTCTGAATATTGCGAGAATAATAATAATAGCGTCAGCACTAATCATAAAATCCACAATGAATCAGACCTGTACAAATTTGAAATAAGGTTTCTTAGAACACTATTTTTGCCTTATTTCACGTTTATTTCAATTTTGAAATATATCTACGTTATTTTACTTTGGGAACAAGTTTGAACATGATAATTCTGTCTCTAGGTGAAATCACTAATATTTCTGAGTGACTAAAATCATGAAATGTTGTTGATTCAAAGAAGAACAGAAATTAGTATTATAAATATACATTGATATTTTGCACATTGATGGTCCATCATACATATTTATGATTTCAAACTAACGATGTGATAATGATTTATATAAATTAAGACACGAATGTGATATACTTCCTTAAAATAACATTCGTTCTCTGTTTGAAAATGACGAATGAATCTTTAAATACACGAATAAATATGTAAAGATGTATGTACAAAATCATTTAAACATAGGTATTATTCTGTAGACTTCGATCGCAAGTTACGAACTCTTTTCAATAGAATATTTTTTATATCTACAATTGAAAACAAATTCAACGGGGTATAATAGCGAGTACCTAAATAAATAAAGGATATACTTCCATGAAATTCTATCCGTAGAATAAATACATACATTAAAAATATATTTTAATGCTCATAATATTAACTCATAAAATTTATTTTGTAAATTTCGATAATTTTGAAATCTCGATACGTATTAAGTAGATGCTCACCACTGTATATGCATGATAGATGTGCGTTGATCTCGGTAGTATTAGTGTTGAAGTGTAATAATTACGTCCTCGAAACGTGAGAATAAATTTAAATTGTTGTTCTGTTTGTTCATTTAGGTTTCAAGAGATTAATGCAAGGCGAGGGTGAAATGAAGAACACGATACTGACAGCGTTGGCTGAAATGATGGGCACCTCGATACTGGTCCTGATGGGTTGCATGGGATGCGTTGGAACCTTTGGCGTGGTCCCGTCTCACTTTCAGATCGCGGTGACCTTCGGTTTGGCTGTGATGATCGTCATCCAGGTCTGTGGAGATCTTCACAAGAACGATCGCTACGATCGTTGACACTTACTTTCTTAGGGTTTCGTAACGGGATTAAATAGATTTTAAACGCGACCGTCAAGCTCGCGTACAAAGATATCATTGCAATTATCCTTTCCTCTTATCGCATCAAGTTTTCGCGTAACTTAAAATAATCAAGGTTGACGTAATTGGAAGATAAGATCGCAAGATTTATTGGCCGAGTTGTGTAATATCCTTTTGACAAGTATATTTTTCTGAAAACTTTCATTTTTTGAGATTCAGGAATTCTCGAATTTCTCTATTTTTTCGGAATTTTGAAATCCTATTTGAAAGTTCTCTAAACTCTCGAGAATTTGTAAAGTGGAATAATGTTGTTCTTGCTCAAATTCTAAACAAACATCTTCCCCCTTAAAAGAATTTAATATTATCTAGTTATTCAGTTGTTACCTTTTGTTGTTCAGTTGAAATTCTCGAACACGATCACTAGGCGCGCGATTAAAGATGTCCGCATTCAATGATTTCTGCGTGCATCGGTGATAATTATGTTGTCGCTTCGAGACAATTTATAAGCCTCGCGCGATAAGAGTTACAATTGGATGTTGAGGGGGGGGGGAGGGGGAGCAGATGAACGTCTACCAGATCCAGGAGAATTAGATAGTAAAGATTGCTTGGAATTTTATTTACAGTCTGTGGGACACATCAGTCACGCTCACGTTAATCCAGCGATCACCGTGGGATCCGTGGTGCTGGGAAAAAAGACTCTTTTGGAGGGTTTGATCTACCTTTTGTCCCAGATGATCGGTGGAATCGTTGGATTTGGAATGTTAAGGGTTGGTATGCTCGTTAATCATTCGTCCTGGATAAAACCAGGACACATTACCGATTGTGGTATGCCGGGCGAACGAAAATATATCAAAAGAAATCAGAACACGACCAATTGTCGAGTCTAGCGATTGTCCTCTATACAGAGGAATAAACTGTGTGAAACGGTGAGGGGGCTTGGGGTTAACTCGGCTTTCGATAATACGTTGCAGTTGCAATTGGAACTTTGACCTATACGGGTACCGTGTTATCAAGCAAAGGTTTGCTATTGTAGATTAAAGCGAGACACTCTGTATGTATATTAGTCGGAGTTCGACACAATATGCGATGCAGGATGATTACGGAGATGTATTACACAGTTGGATAGCTTATTTCAACTGCAGTTTAAGTTGGCACACCATGTAGATCATTCAACACGTCGATCTGGAAAAATCGTTAACTCGATTTGATTTGTTGTATACATAATTTACGCAATTAACAACGTTTGCGGGTAACAAGTATTGCAAGAAATACTGGCTGAACAAGAGTAATTTGTCGATCATAAACTTTCTTGGGGTTTTGTTCAGAATACGAAAGTTGATTGTCGATTCCTTGAAATTTATAGGAAAATAAATTGTTTGGAAAAAACGAAAGATAATTAAAAGCACGAAGGTGACAGTGATAACAGTTAACAATAAATTAATATCGGTCTGTCGAAGAGATGAAATGAAAAATTTTAAATATCAAAATTTTGTTACAATATACGTTAATTCACAATAACGCAGTAAGTTTTGGAAATTTAACTGTTTATCAAAGTAAATGTTTATAATACTTCTTTGGAGAGAAACGATGAACTTAAAGAACTTGGTTTATGTCCAACATTACACGATACAATTACTATGAATATTCAGATACATCCTTAATATCTAACATGTTCGAGTAACATTCATTGAATATTCAAATGACTCAAATCGTAAATGTTGAGTGTTAAACGTTTCTGATTTATGATGGCTGTTACAACCTCAGAACGTACTATTGCGTGTATCATAGCTTGCAAGCGTTGTGTGTTGGTGTGCTAAAGTCATAGCTTAGAATGAGGTTCTTGGTTCACAAAGGGGTTGGAAGCTCGTAATTAGTGATGGAACTGCAATACTCTCGCTTGCAAAGGTCCTCGTTCAAATTCAACGAAATTCTCCTACATGAATTTGCATCAAATGCATATTTGTAGCGTTATGCGACTATTAGTTCTGGTTGTACATTTTTTCCTAATTCAAAATAAATTCATAACTATTGAACGATTACATATATCTCAAAAGGACTTGTACTAGAAATTAGTAAATAAATGGATAATTTAAAATGTTACAATTTCTACGGATTCCCGTAATTTTACACTAATTACACATATAAATTTTGTAGATTTCTTGGAAAATTAAAAATACAATTGTTTTTTATTATTTTTTTATTGCCGGTAGGACATTGATAAAATATATTCTCTAATGCAACACGTACTGAATAAAGAAACATAAGCGAGATTCCTTAATATCATAAATTCGTACATTTTTTTAAATACTTATTCCAATTCAGGAATTGTCCAAATACGTATGGATGTTCATGTACAACACATGTATGTTTTTGAAAACAATTCTCGATCGACATCTAAACACACGTTTCAGATGATGACGCCAGGAAGCCATCTGAGTGCCAAAGGCGCGGATGAAGCTAGCATGTTTTGCGTAACCGATATACACCAGGATCTGTCAGCCATCCAAGGTCTCATTCTAGAGGGCACGTCCACTGGAATACTGATGTTGGTCACTTGTGGCGTCTGGGATAAGAGGAACGTAAAGAACACAGACTCCGTGCCGATTAGATTCGGCCTCACCGTTGCAGCACTGGCCCTCGCCTTTGGTCCTTACACCGGCTGCAGTATGAATCCTGCCAGATCGTTGGGGCCTGCTGTGTGGAACAGTCAGTGGTCCCACCACTGGATCTATTGGTTCGGACCAATCGGTGGAGCCCTTTTGGCATCCTTCACGTACAAAACTGTCTTCGGCGTGGCCGACGAAGAGGAAGAGGAGACTGGCCCAGAGGCTGTGGCGTTGAGCGGCGTGGACACTCAAAAGGCAGAGGTAAGATAACAATTATATTAATATTATTATCAAATGTACTTTAAAACATACATCAAATATTCTCAAATTTATACAAATATTACACAAATTCTTTTCTGTAAACAAATATTCCGAGAAACACTCAATACTCGGTCTGCTTGAAAATATAATCGAATATGAAAGGATCACAGAATTCTAGGCCAGCATAACTGTGCCTGAAGTCGATGGAATATGCAAAATGGCCATCGCCTGCACCTGTCTACAAATCCCCCATAAAACTATGGATTTGTTTACACATCCACGGCAGTTTAGCGTTATGTCGTCGTTTTGACTGAATTTAACGACGTCGCGCAATAGGAATTAGTTTATTTTACATTATGTCTCAGATGATCGATGATATCTTCGAATTCGGAATGATCCGAAAGTAAGCGTCTTATGAATAATCTGTAAATATAACAAAGTTGCATCTCATTATCCCCTATAAGCTGATACTTTTTTTTTAAATTGATTTAACGAAAGTAAATATTTCTCTAAGCCCATTTCTCGAGAGCGTATATGTGTATATGTATAGGTGCCCTTCACAGTCAAAGGATTCATTTGCAAACTTCTTTCAAATACAATTGAAAAAATCTCATGAAACAAGTTGAGAACACGGAGTTAACTTAACTTGAGATAATACGTTGTCATGTGAACGGAACTTTGTCCTCCACGTGTATCTTGTTATCGAAGTTCATGACCTTAGTCTAATCTCTAATTTCAAAGAGTTGCATGAATATTCATTGCAAAAACATTAACATTACTCCTAGTATCGCTGCAATCTTTGATGACGTTTTCCTAATGACTCGTAATAATTCCACATGCGTTCACGTTCTTTTTAGATAGAACAGATTCCAGGAAATATAATTCCCTTTTAAGAATGCTCGTGATGTTCCACCTTTGCGTTTGATTTTTGCAACGTTGCGATAATCGGCAATTTCACTCTTCAGGGTCAGGTTAAACACTGATCCACTATTTATTTAGAATTATATGCACTGTGGGATATTTGGTATGCACGTTAAAGTGCCAAAATTGCTTATATTCATATAGTTCAACATTTCATTTAAAGTTTTTTATTCAGTTCGTTGTACAGCTTGAATTTTACTTCTCTCTTAAATCGTGTGCCTCGAAGAGCTAAACTGCAGCTAAACACTTATGTGGCTATCAGACACCGAAACTGTAATTAAGACGATTAGATTCGTTCTTTGGAGTTAGATGTGCACAACATTAATGGAGCGATTCTAAACTGCAAAATGGGACGAAATTTCGTATAAATTGATAAGTCTGCAACTTTATGTAACTATAATTGATAAATCTCGAAAAAATAGTTATCACGATTTAGTTTGACCGACACGTACAGGCCCGACACAGCGATTCTCAGCTACATATCAAAATAAAGCATGGTTATTACTCTAATAGATTGATAACTGGTTTATATGATTTGTACTGCAGAGTTAAATATGCACGATATCAAAGTGGAGTTTTCCAACTGCAGATTAAGTTGACGCATCCTATAAATTATACAGTGGTTTTCATTTCTTTGACAGATAATCTTTGACACAATAGATAACACAATCTAATTTATAGTACATTATTAAATATTAACGAAGTGATTCTTAACGCAGTGGTAAATATTTTAAAGACCTTAACATATTAATTTTTCACAAAGTAATTTGAGTAGCAGAAATATAAGTGGGACGAATTTTTGGAACGACCTAATATATAGGCGTCTTTGCGATCCAATATTACTCTGTGTTTGACGACTATACTTGCCGTAATTCGATTCTCGCGACACACATAAGTGCGCGCTCCGAAAAGAGGACGCCGCAGCCGACTGGTTAATACAATTCGACGTATTCTGTACAATTAAACATTTTTCACGCACGGAATCGATGGGATATGCAAAACGGGGATTGCGTGCACTCGTCCACCAACCCCCCATCAAACTATGGATTTGCATGCTCAACAACGCAGCCTAGTCACCGGAAATTGAAGCACGCGCTATATTCGTGTCAACGGCTTTCGTCTCGACGATATTTCTCATTAATGGTGTCTTCGTTCGACTTTAAACGAAGCTTTATAGCGAACGTGGAACGGGTCTCGTCCGCCTTTATCCTATAAACGCCATGCACCGTGTACCCCAAGGTTTTTCGCATGACGGGGATTATCTTGTAAGGGTTGGCCGTAAAGGTCGACGATAAATCGTCGCTGGTGCTAGGAAGTTTGATAAAACTAGTTTTATGGGACGACGGGATTTAACATTCACGGTTTACCGTCTACGGGAACCCTAACATGGATCAGGCGAGTGCCGTTTCAGGGATTCGCGTTCCGCGTTATACTTACTTGTGTCGTTCGACTTCTTATCCCATAGATTATTTCTGTATGGTGTTGCAAATTGTGCAAGGACCGCTGTGATATCTCTGCGGTCGAGAAGTCAGTCGAAGGAAACTCTGTTTATTAAATAAAACCATCTTCTTGATCTAATTTTTTAATAAAAACAGCGAAACTGGTCATTGTTCGATTTTCGCGACACATATAGTTGCGCGCTCTCAAAAAGGAACCCCATAGGTAACTGGTTAAGTAGTACAGTTCAAATTATCGTAGCTTGAATACGTTCATTGAACTTGAAAGCCACCGCCAACTAGTCTAGACCCTTTTAGATGCGATAACAATGAACCATGATGCACTGCGTTACACCGGGACGCACATTCTTTCGCGAACAATTGCTGCCTGGTAGCAAAGCATCGAGGAATCATCGCGAGTCATCATATTCGCAGAGATTTTCTGCTCGTGGTTCGAGCCAGCGTTATTGAAAGCTCGATGAACCCCGTTTCTTTGCTCTGTTGCAGGCCTGACTGAGCGGAAAGCGGACCGATTGGGAGCGTCCTAGGTCAATCACCACTTTCTTCAAGAAACCACAAGAGATTAAGCATTTAATGGAGGACAGGCGACCGGTTCCGAAGCTCACGGACGATCCAATGTTCGCTAGGACGAGGCAGCGCGGATCGGATGAAGTTTGAAAGCCCGAAGCTCGTTACCGCTCCTCGAAACAAACGCGATACACACGATCACCTTCGCCTCGCCTCGGGTAATCGTGCATCGCACAGACTGACGCATCAGTTTACACCCCCATGATCCACCCCCAATTCGCGATCTTATCGTCTAAGCGTTGCTCGTCCATTTCGCGAAATCACAAGACTGTCATCGATATCGCTCGTCTTGTTCGCTGGCCTCTACAATGCAGGACAGAATGATAGTTCTTGTTTATACTTAAATGTATACGTAAAAATGTACATATTAATTGATGTATATATACGTAGAAATTTATATATTTTGTGTAACCAATGTATCGCACGTCTCGTTGCATGTAAACTCACTGGAAACCAGTTTTAATGGAACGAGTCCTTGATTATGGAAATTAATGTAAACTGAAGTTAAAATCAGTGGGACGAAATGATAGCACTCTGTATGCAAAATATGTTTGTAGAATGGATGAATCTTTCATTGATATTTTGGAGATTTTATCTTGTGTAAAATTTCAAGTAATACTTTTTCTATTTACTTAAAGAGTTTTTTAAAATTATTTTTTGTTGTAAACAACACTCTTCTAACTCTTTCATTGTACTACTCTTCGAAATAGACGTAAACATTTCCGATAATATTTAAGTTAGGAGACTGCTGATTTAAAACTTTATAATTTTTGTAAAAAAACACAATATCGTATATCGTTCTTTAATACAACAATCCTGTACTTTCGTGTAACTTTTTGCTGTAAATTGCAGTGTTTTAATTCTCGTACTTTTCTACTCTTCGCAATTCCTCTCCACCTTTCATCACCGCATTTCAAATATTTGTGACAGATAAGCCTAAACATTTTTAACAATGTTCAAGTCAGGAGACCGTGCAAGCCTATTTAAAAATTGCCTGGCACTGAATGGGTTAGAAATTTTATATTTTCCTAAGAAAAATAATTTTATACACATTTACTTTTGTACAAATATTCAATCATTTCATGTAATTTTATTACACGAAGTGTAATAGACTTACTACTATTAGTTCTTCCAATTGCTTATCCATTAATTCTATATATTTTGTAGTATGCGTACAGCCCGATATAAAATTTAAATCTGTGTTGCCGTTGTGCCCAATTTCAGCCCATACCATTACGCTACATTTCCTTCCATAATCTTCGCAAACCTCGTTCCTGGAAAACGATTTTTAGTGGGTTTACATAAAATAGGACGCGCATTGATTCTTATGTATTTCTATCGATATAAACAAAAACGTAGGGTTTGTTCCGCATTGTATCTTACGAACAGTGTAATTCCTCGCGTAAAGATAGAAATTTAGCACAGGATGCTAGAAACTGAACCATTCGCATCACTGTTTACGTTTTTAATTCAAGCGGTTCACGAATATAAAATTGTAAATCTTTGCTTACGATCAGGAGCATATCATTGAGTAAGGGTGCACGTTAACCCTTCGACACAGTGAGCCTGAATTTTCATTTGAATGCTCCAAACAGAGACTTATGCACAGGGTGTCCCACGTAATTGTGTCGCCTACGGAACGCTTTTGTTGTTTGCGTTAATTGGAAACAAGTTCAAGGATCGAGAGACACTGCTTCAATGCATTTCACTGTCGCCACGCTACTCTGTTTGTCATCTACGTTGCACAGATTCGAGAATGTCGTTTGTGAGTGCCCGTTTGAATTCTCTCTATAGCTCAGCGACCAAACGCCTAGCGTACTGCGTCCTTTGAGCCGGTTAAATGCGTTCCAAACAATAGCGCTACGTGACGACTCTTTGTTATATTGTACATAATTGTTATATTTATGTAGATGAATTTAATCACGACGACGTAAAGCACAGCCGAATGAAACAGACATCCTGTGATGTTCGTGTGAGCACGAATCTTGCGATTGTGCCGTCATTGTATCTTGGATTTCGAATGGAACGATCTCTGTTTCATGGATTCACGAGCTTCATGGAGGCATTCGCGAAACAATGAGCTCGAACATTAATTATCCCCTGTTGAATATCGAACAAAGTAATTTTACACGAATTTACGATTACTCTTAGGCAAAAATATGTAAATGAATAAAACGTAAATAAAAGAGATAATAAATAAGAGAATAAAGAAATTTTACAGTAGACTCCCGTATATTGCGGTTAGTGCGTTTTGTTAACACATCGTTGTATATATAAAAATGGTTGAAACAAACAATTCGTTCTACGTGACGCTAAGTTAATCAAGATTTTCACACTAAACTCGTGCAACGAACTGCATTGATACAGCCACGCGTGTAGGTCGGCCTACGTTGTAGGCGTCTCTGTCGTTCTGATTTGGCTGATATTGGAAACGAGACTATTTGGATCGTGGTGTTGCATTTTCATTTTCTAACACTCTCTGATATTCGAATTTTTTTGCTATAAACTGGAATTGTCCAACCAGCGTTTCGTTGTGTTTGCTTAATTGCATTTGAGAAAAAGAGAAATAACTATGCAGGTTGTAATTTACAAATGCACCTGCGCTGTTGGATCCGGAGAACAAGTAGTACTGCATATGCCACTGGATATTATTCTCGCCTTATTGCACTCGACGTGGGATTGTAACCGACAATTGCATTTGCATCGTTATCACCGTCCAAGAAGTAATATTTCAGATGCAACTCTATACTACATAATTGTATTCGCCAAGAGATCGTAATTGGCAATCGCATTTGCATAATCGTTATTGTACAATTTGCATCATTGTTAAGAAGTAACGCTTCAAATGTAATTGCATGCTACACTAACATAATTGCGCTTAAGAAGAAACTGGTAATAATGACTATGCGATTTATAAATTCCTGCGATTATTGCACGTTGTACGTACGAAGGATTTAGACGAAGGATTTAAAAAAGGTGGAAAATTCATTCCTTTGCAAAAAGCTCACTCCAAATGATTTATATTTAACGAATGCAGGACCCTCGATCGCTATATTTCAAGATTCGCCGCAACGATCGGGTGTTTGATTACCAAGAGAATCGATACAGATTCCGTTAACAATTACCAATCCACCTGGCAGGAAAATATTAATTCCCGCTGGCTACAAAATCTGTCCGGTCAGATAGCTTCCCGGGTTTTTCATTACGAATGAAAATCTCCATCCGACGAGAGGAAAATAGAGAGGCCCGAGAGAAGTGGCTCGATTCCATTTAGGAATAAATAAAAAACATACACGCGTACAGACAACACCGCTGGCACGATTGCCTCGAAAACACCACGGTCAAATATTAAAGGTCCACGTACATTCGATCTATTGCTGGTTTGATAGGCTCGCCTCCGGAGGATCGATTGATTCGACCATGGCCGGACTCGAATAAAGCCGCGGGACAACGAGTACACGGGGTATCGTTTTGTCGGGAAGATCGCGATCGTAACGCGAGCAACGTCGCTATCGACAGGCTAACCGTTCGAGTGCTACGGGTCGTTGTAAAAATTGTCTCGAATGGTGAACGCGGTGCAATAGCCCTTGTTTGGCACGATCGCAAAGGATGTCAGTCGGTGGAATCGCGCTTTGTATTGTTATTGCGTGGTACGTTCAATAGGTTTGTCAGAAACGTTGTACTGAATTCTCTTGAGGACAGACCATTGTAAAACCACGTTTAACAGGGGTATATTAAAAAAAATGTTTATAAAAAAAAGTATGCGATGAATTGCTTTGAAACCTTCTGTGTATTTTATTCGAGATATAAACAAAGAGAAATCGGTCTCAAAATGTAATTAGCTTGGCGTTAGACGATTCTACCGGATGTGCCAATGAGTTTTGCTAGAAAATATACAGGTGACTTGTCGACAAGTTTGTGATCACTTTTCTTAAACTAGATACATATGGCTATGGTGTAGAATTTATTTGATATCTCATAAAATAAGCAATGGGGATAAAGAATGTTCATAGTTCAGAAACGTTTTTGATTTAAGAAAATTAAGAAAAAAATCAATTTTTAAAAAGACCATAGCGAGAGACTTAAGCAAGTAATTTCATTGACCTGATGATAATTGAATTATAGATAATCCCTTGAATTTTAATCCTTTTGAATTGACTATTGAGAACGAATAAATTATTATTTAGGAACGTGCATTTCACAGAATTTGTTGTTTTGATTGTTCTTTTAGGATGTACTAGGGCTGTCAACTACCGAAACAAATAAATTTCAGTAGTTGACACCCCATGTCAAATACCACTGTTCGCGAATAAACGTTGTTCATTCAATTTTGATTCATTTAGTTTTGATTAAGTCTTCATACACCACGCCCGCGCTGTCCAAACATAGATATTTTACTCGTAGAAATCAAACGTCGCAGTTTCACGAGGCGCTGAGTCAGTGTTCGCCTACGCAATACGTGAAATAGCTGGAGAGTGACTGGGTTAATATATTTAGAGTAATAAAACAATGGAAGACATTTGTTTGTTATCTTCGACTTAGCCTCGCCACGATCACGGTATCGTTTTTGTTGGCTACGTGCCGTCTAGAGGCATAGCAAGTCGAAGTGAAAAATAAGAAACGAGAAGACAGGGAGCCCTGAGCACGAACAGTAGAAAGTGGAGAGGGTGGTAAGCTCGGCGAGCATTAAGACCAGATTGAAAATTGAATTATTAACGAGCGAGCTGACGCCCGGCATGTAAATCATACGGAAATATTACTTTTCTTTCCGGCGGAAAAATGTATGGCGCCATCCGGATGCAGTCTCTCCCGCGACAAACCGTTTCTTACTTTCTCCGTCTCCGGGCTCCAGACACTTATTCTTCGTTTTCCTCTCGCTCCTCTAAGTCCTCGTCTAATTTTCTGCCTCCGAGGTAACGACCTATTGTCCTCCCGGGACACCCACACCGCCTATGTCCCGTGATCTATGTCCTCTATCCACTTGCTGCTCCGCGAACAGTAATTTTATGTTAATTGAATAATAAATAATGACCGTTTACCGTGCCGTACCCGACTATTATCCTTTTTCAGTTCCAGATAATCACTGATTGGGTATCGGTCAACGAATTTCAATTGTAAATTGTAAATGTATGTAATCCGCAGTCTAATAATCATGAACGATTTTAGTATGACCGGATTTGATTTTTGAAATTGTATGTTGTAGAAAAGCGCTGACTAGTACTTTCGTGAACACCCTGTATTTTACCGCATATGTATTTAAATGAAATCAACGAGGGTTAACGAACATCAATAATTATGGTCCTTCTAAACGTATTCCAATAAGAAAGTTTCACAATAAACGATAAGCAAGTAAATAACACGAACGAAGTACATGATAAACAGGGAACAATGTGTTCCGAACGATGCGTTGATATTGAGAAATTAGCTGCATTAAGGGTGGATAAACGCGGAGAGAATAATCGGCAACGAGTCTTGATCTAATTGCCCGTATGTCTGCACCAAAGGCGGGCTAAACCGTATTCGAAAATGCACAAAGAGAAAAGCGGATGGGACGCGTTTGAATATCCGCGATCGCCCGACTCAAGAGCACGTGTAATTGCCTATTGTAGGCTAGTCTGAAATTCCAGAAAATATCGGTCTCTTTCCTTTGACAGCGGGGTGGACAGGGGAACGGTGGGGAAGAAGAGTCGTTTAGAAAGCGTAACGAACGATTCGATATCGAGCAGAGAGAGTGCATCGAGTCAATTACACGGAAAATTCTCGCGACGCTAGTGTTGCATTCCGTCGAATACACTTACTGATTCCATTTTTCCTTCGTATGACGCAGTTGTGCGAACGAACGAACAGTTTGAAAAACGAACACTTTTCCCACTTCCGCTCCCAGAGGTATTTTCCCAGCGTCGTAGATTTGTTTGCGTAATTACGAACGATTCGCCGTTTTATTTTGCAAACTGCAAAACTGGTTTTTCTTTTCAAACATATTACAAAAGGATTTCACAGCTACGCTCTAATTAAGTTGATCCCTCTGTTCATGTATGAGTCGGATTTATTGCTTAATGATAACAAAAAAGTTTTTTGCAAGCATCCATACAGTAATACTATATGCTCACGCACTTATATTGCGGAACGTAACTTTAGCAACACCTATATTTTATAATGTTTCAATGTTTTGAGTAGGAATGAAAAAAGATCAATTATATGAGTTGAAACGATGTGGCAAATAATGAGTTTCATAAAGTTGCTTTCCATCTCATACAATTGGTCTTATTTTATAAGGACTAAAAAGTCCGAAACATTTCTACTGATTAATTACGTTACTTCGTAAAACGAAATTTGGATTAAATGACTACAACAATTACGCCTACCGAAGAGATACTGCATACCAAATTTCATCTAAATCCAGTCAATTTTCTAATTTTATCTCGCCATATTGGATCTGCCATTTTAAATTTTCAAATTAAGTTCAAATTTGGAATCAGTGTCCCCCAAAACCCTTGTGTACATTGTGTGTGAATACTTGCATATACGTATTTACTTTTCATTATTGTACTAGTTATTATTAGAGGTTTTCTGTTGATTCAACGTGGATGAACTTAATGACGCTTCGTGTAATTTCGAGAAGAGGTTTTCTTGGCAATCTACAATTTGCTACGTTTTGCTCTATTTATCACAGGACGATGAAAAGAACGTTGTAGAATTCAAGGAAGGGAGAAAATATATGGTAAGTGGAATGAATTTTCTTTAAGTACATTATTATTACGGGAAAGGGAAAAATCCAGGAAGTTGCTCGAGGCGCTTTGAATTACACGGAAGTTTGAATGTACTGCCAAAGTTCTAAACCACTTTACATGTTTCTTGCTAAAAGCAGTTTTTAGGTGTTTGAAAACTGTTAAATACTACCGCAGTCACAATTAATATTGAAATTCATCGATCGTTTATCTTTTGTACAGTAAAATGAAAATATTTATATTTAAAGAATTAGGATATTTAAAATATTGTATGGTTTGTCGAAACAAGTGGAACACTCATTTGAACATGCATGAACGAAATTAAATTTAATCGAAAATTCCAAACAATATGAGCATCCGGATTATTTGCTTATGATAATTTATCGATCCACTCGAATCCATATATAATAAATTATAATTAATTTCTGCTCATTTCTGTTCCATTAAATTGTTTTTTCGTCGAAAATGAAATCCGTCAATCATATTTGCGCAAAA